ACAGACACGCAGAGAAGCATAGCGTCCATGAGAACAGGCGTCACCCAACGACGATTTGGACAAGGGCCCCCTGTAACATACTCCACGCATTGAGGAAGAGGAGCATGGCCAGGGAGAAGTAATACCGACACCCTCCATAGCCACGAACGCGACGAGGATTGCAGTACTAATCACGCCGAATAACAGAGACACGAAATGCACAGCGATGTGGTACGCCCAGGGCGAGCCCCCTAACAAGAAGGAACCTGTCGGCAACGCCCTGGAGCGGAACTTGTCCAAGAAGAGCAGGAAGGATGTCCCAGACCAAGGCCCAGACCACCCGAGCTGCCCAAAGAACAAGCGCGACGAACCTGACGACGCGGTACGCCCAGGGCGGGCCCCCTAACGAGAAGGAACCGGTCGGCACCGCCCTGGGACGGAATTTGCCCAGCAAGTGCAGGAAATGGAAAACCTAAGGACCAACCATACTGCACGGATAGGCAAAGCACGACGTAGCGAAAAAGCCAACTGCAGTTGCCAGAATAGCGAGACCACGAAGACATACACTACCTGGCAACTGGCACAGGCTGAGCATGAAGATGCCGGAGAACGGGAGCAGGATTTCCGGAGCAGCTCCAAAATCACCAAACACAGCGAGGCGTGGCAAAAATCCCCAGCGTTCACCTCCGAGAAGCTCTTGTCCTCGGCGACGCTCAAGTAAGCACACTCTTTGGTGGTCCAGCCCTGGGGCATCCGCGGCGCGAGCGAGCTTGAACCAAACTGGCTCGAGCCGAGATGGTACTTGAGACAATGAGGAGGGTGAGAAGGAGGAGAAGGAGGAGGAGGGGGAGGCTGACAATGAACACCACGATGATGACGTGACAAGGAGGACGGGGAACAATGTGGAGGAGGAGAAGGAGGAGGAACGGAGACAAGACGAGGAGGATGAGGAGGATAAGGAGGAGGAGGAGGAGGAGGAGGAGGAAGATCGTCCGGTTCAGCCGGTTCAGCCCGTTCCGCGAAAGAAGTCTCAGGCTGTCCGCGTCGACGGAGGGCGAGGAGGCGGAAGAAGACGGAGAAGGACGAGGAGGGAGCTGACGAATTTGCGGGAGAGGAGGGGGAGAGCGAGGAGGCCGAGGGTCAGAGGGGGAAAAGGTGCCTATACCGCTGCCCTTCGGCCGATTTTCCCCTTGTCGGGCCTCCTGGGAGGCCCTTGTCGCCACCGCTGGATTCGCCTCGAAATCCTGGTCAGAACGCACCCCATGACGAACCAACAACACACACCCATATCCATAGGGGGGTCGGAGAGGGCTATGGGTGCGTGTTGTCGGATGGGGGTCCCCGCTCGAACGGGAGCGTTCCCCAGGGTCCGACAACCCGCACCCATACCCATAGCCAGTCTTCCTCTCAACGACCCCCCTATGGGTATGGGTGTGTGTTGTTCGTTCGTCACCCCAGGAGTGGTCTGGGCAGTAGCGGTATCTGTACCTTGTGGTTTCCCCAGAGGAGGTAAGGAGGGAGAGGAAGTTTGTCACAGGGTGATTTCTTCAGTGCCTCATCGGCAGTTCGCCCTCCGCCGACATCCAGAGTGAGTCCCAGACCTCCCCGCCCCGCAGGGTGCCGCAGACCGTCAGGGGGGGTTCCAGGGAGTGCGCCACAGGGAGTCCCAGAGGTCTGCCTCAGGGACGTCCAGGTGGCTCCAAGATGGCCCAAGATGGTCTTCAAGACGGCCACGATGGCCCTCAAGTTCGCCCAAGATGCGCCAAAAGCTCTGCCCTCCTGTCAGGAGTTCAGCCGGGCTCCGCAATATCGAACGGGATCCGGGCAGACGCGGCAGCGAAGTTCAGGGGGGTCGGGCCGAACGACAGGGGGGATGGGGAAAGGGGGGGTGGGTACGAAATCTGCTGCATGCAGCTGGTTTCGGCCCCGCCGCCGGGCCCGTTCCTCGATATGTGGGCGCCTCCCGGCGCCGGGCGGCGCTGGGAAAATCGGCTACGTGAGCTGATTCTCTACCCTACAGTCGGCCCGGATTAGTAGGTCGGACCCTGCCAAATCAAGGGTACCCTTGTGTCCGTGCCTCGCGACCCATGCTTCCCCACACTCCTGCGGCGACGTGGCCCTCGGAAGGGTCTGGTGCCCTCTCGCGTATCCTGTCCAATCGAGGCCGACTTTACCCTCTGCCCTCCACCCCTTTCGCTCCCCCCGAGGGGGCTCCGCCTCGGGCAGAGTTGATGGGCCTGTTTTCCACCACCACCACCATCAGTTGGATGGGGGGAAGGAGGGCGAGGAGGACGAGGACGATGATGATGATGATGATGATGATGATGATGATGATGATGCTGATGCTGATGCTGATGCTGATGCTGATGATGATGACGAAACTGGTGGTGATGATGATGGTGATGATGATGCTGATGATGATTCTGATGATGATGCTGATGCTGATGCTGATGATGATGCTGATGCTGATGCTGATGCTGATGCTGATGATGAAGCTGGTGGTAATGATTATGATGCTGATGATGATGATGATGCTGATGATGATGGTGATGGTGATGGTGATGGTGATGGTGATGATGATGATGATGATGATGATGATGATGATGATGATGATGATGATGATGATGATGATGATGATGATGATGGTGGTGGCTGATGATGATGATGATGTTGATGATGATGATGATCATGATGATGATGATGATGATGTGATGATGATGATGATGATGATGATTGATGATGATGATGATGATGATGATGATGATGATGATGATGATGATGATGATGATGAATGATTGATGATGATGATGATGAGGAGGAGGAGGAGGAGGAGGAGGAGGAGGAGGAGGAGGACCCCTTCCCCCATCCAACTTATGGTGGTGGTGGTGGAGGCCGCTCCTCCCCCGGGGGGGCGGGCGGGGGGGGGGGCGTCCGCCTCGCGATGGCCGCCTGGGAGGTCCGCCTCCGCGGGGTGGGCCAGGAGGTCCGCGCTCGGACTCGTCGTGCTCGTCGTCGAGCCCGTTGGACCCGCCCCTTCTCCCAGGGGAGGGAGAGGTGCCCGTACCCCTACTCTTAAGTCGGGCGTGTCCCCATACAGGGGGATTTTCGACGAAAAATAAGAAATACTCCAAAATACCCCAGAAAGGTAAAAACATATTCCAAAAATAGTCCCCAGACTATTCTTCGACTATTTTTGGATTATTGCGAAGGCCTTACGGCCGGTGCCGCCGACCCTGAATGGCGACGACGACGACGACGACGACGAGCGCTCTTGGGGGCATCTTGGGGGTAGTTTGTGGGCCTCTTGGGAAGCTCTTAGGGGCCGCTTGGAAGCCTCGTGGGGGCCTCTTTGGGCTTCCTGGGGGTCTCTTGGAGGGGGCCTGGGACGTCTTGGAGGCTTCTTGGACGGTCTTGGGGCTATCTTGGGCGTTGTCGGCCGATCTTTGGGCGACTCGGGGCCCTCTTGGGCCGTCTCGGGGGCCATCTTGGGCATTCGGACCTCATTTGGAGTGTTTTCGAGGTTTCTAGGCCGCCCGAGGAAAAACGAATCTGCCCCTCCACCCCCCCGGGACCCCCCTCGGGACCCCCCCCCCCCTGGGGAAGGGATCAAAGGGAAGGGGCTTCCCTTCGACGTATTTTTTTATTTGTCGTCGAAGATCCCCCTGCAGGGGGACAGGCCCGACTTAACCCTACCCTCCTCTCGTCTTCCCCCTCTTGGGCTTCCTGGGCCTCCGGCGTCGCCACCGCTGGATTCACCTCGGATTCCTGGGCAGAAGGCGCCCCAGGAGAGTTCCGGAGAGTGGTACCTTTTGGTTTCACCATTCTTCCCCTTCGGGGAAGGGCTTCCCCCTCCCCCTCCCCCTCACCCTCCCCTTGGGGTTTGGATTGGGGGGTTCGTGGGACGTTGGAGGGTCTCTCTTTTGGCCTCGGCGCAAGCCACAATTGTGGATTTACAACAGGTTCTGCCCACATGTTGCCCTCCTGGCGAGGGGGCCTAATGGGGGAGCTCCCCTCCTTCGATTGATCGCCTCCAACATGGCCCAAAGGTGGACCCGAAGGCTCCGAAGGGTGCCCCAAGATGGCCCTAAGAGCTGCCAAGGAGTCGTCGCTTTGCTCGACGTCCCCGCCGATTTTGGCGCCAGTGCCGAGTCAGACGACGTCGGTCGACGAGTTCGAGGAGGGCTGCAATTCGTCGCTACCCCGTCTTCATGGTCGTTCGCCGGCGAGTCGCAATACTTGCGCATTTTCCCAATGCCAGCAGAGCCAGGCGCCATCATCACCCCTCATTGTTCCACATCTGCAAGCGCATGGTCCTCGGCACGAGCGCTTCTAGCTCTGTATCGGCGATGAGCGAGGGTGGGAAGTGAGAAGGAGAAGACCCTCTCAGAAGGTGGCGGGGCTTCTCAGAAGCCGCTGGCCTTCTGAGAGGCCGATTGCGTCTCCGGGGAAGGCTTCTGCAGAAAACTCCTCCGACGGCCGGGGGACTTCCGAGCCCCTCTGACAAGGCCCGCCCCTTCCCGCTTCCCTTCTGGGAGGGCTCGCCGCCAACTTCCGACGCGAGGAGTCAACAAAGCAGGGCTGGACCTAAATGGTGTTTTGTTGGGCGCTTTCGTGGGCCGTTATCGTTTCCACTTCGTTGTGCGGTAGAGGCGGATTCGAGGCAAGGGCGAGGGCAAACGAAGACAGAGCGAAAAGGAAGCACACCGCCTGGGTGCAGCCCTGCAACAGAGCGAGAACGAAAACGGAGACGGAAAACGAAAACAAAACGAACACGAAAAGCACGGCTCAGGCTCAGCCTTGCAAGAAAACTTCGCCTCCGAGCGGCCGCCGAGCGGCCGCCGAGGGCCTCTTTACCGCGGCCGAGGACAGCGGCCTCCGCGCGAGCGGCGCCTCCGCGCGCGGCGCCTCCGAGCCGGCGCGCCTCCGAGCCGGCGCCTCCGAGCCCGGGCCGCCGCGGGGCCCTCCGCGAGGGGCCCCCGCCGAAAGGGGCGCCTCCCTCCGCGCGCGCGCGCGCCGCGGAGGCCAAGCAGCGCGAGGCGGACTACGCGGGCGCCCCAGCGCCCGCGCGCGCGCCGGCGGCCTCGCCTCTCCCTCCTTCTCCCTGCCGCCTGCTGCCTCCTGTTGCCTCCCTCCTCCTCCTTTTCCTCCTCCTCCTCCTCCTCCTCCTCCCCTCCTCCTCCTTCTCCTCCTCCTCCTTCCCTCCTCCTCTCCTCCTCTCTCTCCTCCTCCTCCTCCTCCCCTCCCCCCCCCCTCCTCCTCTCCTTCCTCCTCCTCCTCCTCCTCCTCCTCCTCCTCCTCCTCCTCCTCCGTAGCCATTTTGGCTCAAGTTTGAAACGCTTCCCTGGCGCTTCGAACTTGGTCGCTGCCGAGGGGACGGCTCAGAGCGATCTTCTGGCGAGGGCAGGCCTCGCGGCACGAGAGCTTCAGTGCCCGTGCCTTTTCCGCATTTTGCGACACTCCTCACATCTTCTCCTGCTGGATCGCCCCAGCTGTTCTCTGCCATGGGAAGTGAGGAGCTCAATCAGGCCATACAGTCGGGCATTGCTGCTGCCATGGCCTCTGCAACGGAAGCCATTGTTCAACAGGTCACGGCACACGTCTCAGGCGAGCTCAACAAGAAGTTCGAGACCGTCAACAACTCCCTCCTCCTGCATCAGAATTCCATCCAAGCACAGCAGACGGCCATGACCCAGCTCGTCGACCGCGTCAACCTCCTCACCAAGCAATGCGCGGACAACGACACCAATCTCAAGCGCATTGCCAGCGCAACATCCTCGACGGCATCTTCCAGTGGTGGGTCCACATCTGGCTCGGCGGGCTTCGCGAGGCAGATCCCCTCGGGTGCCAAGAAGCAGCGCGGCTTCGACGCAGTGCCTGGCGGCGACTCCTTGCTCAAGTTTGTTGGCACCTTCCCTCGGCCCGTATTGGACTCTGTCAGACGCAAGCATTGGGACCAGCTCGTGCAGCACTTCCCGCACCTCCTGTCGGTTGGCGCCACTCCTGTCTTTCACTCCATTGCGCAGACCTACGCAGTCAAGTTCGAAAGAGAAGATGCAGCCAGAGAATTCCAGCGCATGGCCAACCTCCAGGGCATGACGTGGACCGATCCCCGCGACGGTAACATCCATCCCCTGCGCGTCAAGTCCGACCTCCCGCTCGACGTCAGGATCAGGAAGAGGGCCTTTCACCACCTGTGGAACCCTGTCCGCTCCCTTCTCATGCTCTCCCCGCACTGGCAAGAAGGCAAATGTCAGCTAGGAGTGGATGGCTTCAAAGGAGTTCTCCGATTACGCACTGAGAGCGACGTCTGGGAGCTCGTCTCATCGAAGCCCATGACCCAGAGGAACGGCGAGGACTGCTATCAATTCGAACCGCATCTCAGCGAGCTGGAAGCCTGGGGCATCTCCGCAGAGCAGATCAACACCATCATCAGCAAGGCCCATGCCTCTGCCCAGGAAGCGGGCGGCGACACCGCCATGGACTAGGATGAGGACTCAAGGACAACATCGATTTCCACATACGGAGCTTCCTCGACGTTGCCTGCTGTATGCGTTACTGAGGGCAGTCATGCACTGGGAAGCAGCAACACCAACGCCGAGAACTCATCGTCTACGATTGGCTCCTCTCCCTGCTCGGCCTCCTCCCCTGGGACATCGACGGCTACTCGCGCCTGTGCTACCCCGACCTCTTCGTCGGCTACCCCTACGTGCTCTCCTGAGGCCGCCGTCCCTGTGCCCTGCTCCCCCTCTCTTGCTCGTGTGCACAGGCGCAGCCCTGCGGTGGGGCCCTTGGCTGCTAGGCCCCCTGTGCGCCCTCCCGCCCCGTCGTCTTCCCGCCTCTTTCTTCCCTCCTCCTCCCTCCCCTTCAACATCTGTAGTTGGAATGCCCAAACGTTGTTCTGTTCCCATTTCACAGATAGTCGGCGAAGTCAGTGTAAATACCGCTCCCTCCAATCCCTCCTCAGACGGCACTCGATCATTTGTATCCAGGAAACCCATGGAAATAGTGCCGATGCAGCCCTACTCCAGCGTGATCTCGGTGCCGTGCAGGTGTTTGGTTCGTTCATGAACAGTGAGATTGCAGGGGGTATCCTGATTGTGGTTAAGGAGACCATCTACTCTCGCTTCACCTCCCACTCCTTCAGTGTGGTCGAGCAGGGCCGCGTTGGTGTACTCACTCTCGCCAATCCACGAGAGGTTCTTCAGGTTGCATGTGTACATGTGGACCCCTCCTGGACGGAGGCCCACACCCGTGCAGTATTCTGGCGACTTCGTGGCTTCCTGACCCCTTCCCCACTCTCCACGTCCTTCATCGTCGGTGACTTTAACTTTCTCGAGAACGGTGACGCGCGGTACTACGCCCTATCGGGGCGTGAGACCTTCCAGACATCTCGGCTCGCCTCCCTGTTTGATCAGATCTTCCCGCTGTACTCTGAAGTCTACCAACCTCACTTTACACATCGTGCTAACGTTGACACAAACCCCAGCTATGCAAGATTGGATCGTATCTATACAAGTCTTCCTAGTGCTCTCCTCATCGACTTCAACCCCGTTTCCTCTACCGCCTGGCCCATCACGAACCTGTCCAAGCCCTCTGACCACTCCCCCGTCTTCCTCAGCCTCACCGTTCCTGCTCGCGACGACGCGGACTACGTCTCGATTCCGCCCTGGGTTGCCTGCCATGCTGTGTTCAAGGAAGTCTGTGAAGACATGTTTCAGGTCCAGGACTTCTCTGCTGACCCTACTCAGAGGCTCCTTGAATCGAAGAGAGTTTTCCACTACGCGGCCCGGAGGGTGAAATGGCATGTCCAGCAGGTGGGTCCCCAGAACAACGAGCAGAGAGTCCTGGTATGCCTCCGACTCCTTCGGTCGGCTAGAGCAGGTCAGCATCAGGTGGCCAAGAATTCGATTGCAGCCTACCCCGTGCTCGCCGCCTTCTATTCCGTGCTCACCGAGAGTTGGATCGACTGGAACGGGTTCCACCAGCACCTTGCCAGCCTCCAGAGAGCCATCATGGACGCTCGCACCCAAGACGTCTTACGCAGTTCGGACCCCCCCGAAGTTCAGGCTGCCAACCTTTTCCGCATCCAGCGCCTTGCCGCTGCCTGGCGATCCCAGAGGCCGAAAATCTTCCTGGCGGGTTTGCGAACTGCGGAAGGTCATACCATCTCCGGCCCAACTCTCATGGCCAATTTACTGGCTAAGCATTGGGGAGCAGTTTTCGCTGTCGAGAATGAGGCCCAGGTGTGCGCAGAGGCCACTGACTTTTTCCTCGCGCAGGTGGAGCCGCTTGAAGAGCAGGAGGACCAGTTCGTTTCCTCCTCGCACCAGCGTGTCGACTGGATCGCGAGCAAAGATCAGATGCTCAGTCTCCTCGCCAAAAAGAAAGACACGGCCCCTGGTCCCGACGGGATCCCCTACTCGGCCTGGCGCCTGGCCCCCGATCTCGCCCACCAGTTTCTGTATGACGGCTTCCTCTGCCTGGTGAATGAGCATCGTGTAAGTCAGGAATTTAACTATTGCCGTGCTGCCTTCCCGCCCAAGGGTGACCTGATGTCCAAAGGTGCTGAAATTCGTACCCCCTGCCAAACCCGCATGCTCTCGCTCTCGAACTCGGATAACAAGATCTACTCGTCCTTGCTCGCTCACCCGCTCAACTCTCTCGCGGCAGATCGAGTTCAGGCATGTCAGAGAGGTTTCGTGAGGGGTCGTTCGATGATCGATAACATTCTTGAGATGGACTCATCGTTATTCACCTGGTCTCACACCTTGGGCATTAAGGAGGCGGCGGCCTGCCTCTTTGATTTCAAGAACGCGTTCCCGAGTGTTTTCCACAGGTGGATCTTCGCCGTGCTCAGGAAGATGAGGGTACCTGCCAAAATCGTCGGGGCAATCATCACGCTTTACTCCCAGGTTTGGACGTGCATTGCCGTGGGGAACTCGTTTCCTTCGGGCTTCTGGGCCCAAAGGGGGATGAAGCAGGGATGCCCCCTCTCGGGAGTCCTGTTCGCGCTGATCCTGGATCCTGTTCTGAAGGCTACCCTCATCCAGAAGAGCTATCACGACCTATCGCTGTGCGCTTTTGCTGATGATCTTGGTTTGGTAGCACGCAACCTGTATGTGGTGCTCCCGATCATCACCGCTTTGCTCACTCGTGCCACAACGGCCACTGGTCTGGCGCTCAATTTTTCAAAGTGCCACATCATCTTTCCTCGTCAGTTTAATGAAGCAGATGTCCGCAGGCTCTTCAGCGTCCAGGGCCTCGATGTGGGCCCCTTCCAGATCTCTCAATGTGCCAAATACCTTGGTGTATTCCTTGGGCTTGGAGGGCGGAATATGTCCTGGAGGGCCCCGCTGGCAAAATTGAGGGAACGGGCCCACCTCGTCAAGAATCTGGGCCTCAGCTTTATTCATTCTGTGGTTGCCTGGAACAGGTACGCGCTCCCGGTGGTTGGCCACGTGGCCCAACTATTCGAGCCTCCTCGCGAAGCCAAGGCCATTGTCCGTGAATGTCATCAACTTCTCACACGTGCTCCTCGCCATTCGATCCCTCCCATCCTGCTCGCCAACCTCAAGTCTGTCCACTTCCCCGTTCAATTGAGATCATTGGACCTGGCCGCGAGAAGTGCTCTGACACGCTCTGCACTCCTTTCGGAGGCCCTCCCAGTATGTGAGGCATCGTGCCGTCGAGCGTGGGAATCGACGGAGGTGTGTCTGCAGTGCCTCGACAACCCCTACCACTCGGACTCCATTCTCTCTCATCATGTTCGTGCTCGTGACCTCTTCCTTGGGCTCCCTGGGAACCCCGCCGATTCTCCTCCCAGGGCACTTCAGGCCAAGATCTACCACTTCCTACTTCACCTTCATCCCCATCCCCACCCTACTGATCTCCTGGGTGCCCGACTCAGATACTGGACTGGCGTCGTATCTCATCAAGATGTGTTGATTTGTCTTCGACGGTTTAAGCTCGTGAGCTCCCGCCTCCCCTCTTTTTATCTGACTTCGCTGATTAAAGTTTTGTGTAACGCGTGGCCTACCTCCAGGAG